TCAGCACGAGACAATAACTTTATGCACATTTATTTTTAAATCCATTTAAAGGAGAATAAGAAAAGAAACAGACCTTGTGGTATATTTTAAAAACTCGAAATTATTAGGGGTAAAAAAAAAGGGGGGGAGGGTATAAGGACTTCATAAAATTCATTTTCCCATTTTAGTGTGTTATTTAATGAACAACAATACCTCTTGTGCGAATTTATTTGTCTTTCTTTTTATTAAAGAAAAGAAGAAAGAAATACAGTACACCGGAGAAAGACAGACAGGGATTATAAAGAATTAAAAGAATCGCTATCTTTGTTCATGTTTCAAGCAGGTTGAGAAATTTCCGTAACTGAAAAAAATGGAGAGTATAAACTAGATCTAGCCTATTTTACTTTTAAAATAAGATCAGAAGCTCGTATCACCCCACCATCTGTTTCTAAAGATTACACGCGTCTTATTTCACGGATTCTAGAAATTCTAGATAATTAAGAACTTTCTTACCTGAAGGAACAAACCAGTACTGTTCAAGTTTTATAAATGAGTATTTCTGGCGTTGGCACTGATTTCACAAAGAACCGTTTCGAGCTTATTTTAGAAGCTCTCACCCCATTCCGAGGAAATATAAACCCTCTCCCCCAAAAGCTCAACAAACACGAAGGGTTTGCGCTGCTAAAACGTTCTGCGAGTGGTCACTGTTGACATCGTGCACCGGGATCGGGGAAGGTAAAGTGAAGTGGGCGGGGCTAATGGTATGGTTCGACCACAGAGTTACGAAAAGGACATAATATAATATATTATAGTGCCACAAGTGGTTGATTTTTTGTTTAGGCAGTACACTATCAAGTAAATAGAGGACAGAAACAAGGCTGGTCAGCGTTGACAGTTGACAGTGCTATAGAATACTGAACGCTGCATCTGAAATAATAAACACTTCCTCATTTCTGTCAAACAAAAGAGGTGACAGCGCTATAAAATCTCAAATATGGCCCACTACTAACCTCCACTTCACAGAAATAAATCCAGCAACAATTTTCTGATGGTCATACCAGAAAAAGCTAATTTCAAGTGCGGTATGGTTTTTCTTTTCTCTTCATTTCATTTCTGCGATCCTTTTGTACTTTTCTGTTCTTGGGAGGAAAAGTTTTACCGTAAAGACTCGCTGTGAACTACAACGACAACGAGGACACCAGCGAAGGCACCAACAGTGGTGACAACAGCAGTATCAGCAGCAGCAACACAGCAACAGCAAAGTCTCAAAGAGGCAACGCATTTGCCGCCATTGCCCCATTTGTCACATCCTCCAGCTCTCTCGCGCTTGACCGAAAGTCAATAGGTAGATCCGGCTGACAAAAGAGAAAGCATTAGGTTTGTCGCTTCGCAGATCGCCAATTGTTTACTGGTTTTTCGGTAGGAAATGCTTTGTGCGGTGCGGTGGGGTGAGATATTGGGAGTCTTTGGTAGGCGAGGGGGTGGGGGCAACTGGGTGTCACGGTTGCTAGAGCATGTTGTCCCAACTCCAGCCACACAATACGATATCCTTCGGTATAAAAGTGGTTCTTTGAAACTTGAGGCAGAATACGTTTTTTTTTCTTGCTAATCTCTAAGATCACGATACAAATGGCTAGCGTACGAAAAACCGAAGTCCATTCTGTCTCCAAATTGAAAGCAACATTATATACCACATGCTGACAGAAGGCATTCGCCTGCCCATTAAATTCATTTTCATTTTGGACATTTAGACATTCTAACTACCAAAGACTAGATCAAGCAAACAATTCAATGTATTACTGAATGTTCTTTCTTTTTCAATACACAAGTACTTGGTTGCTTTATCTGTGCTCCGATTTGGTGTCGTATATTTCTAAGTTTCAAAGAAAATGTGCCAACAAGGAAGAGAATGATATGATTTTTTTTAAATCAGAAACAAAAAAACAAAACAAAAACAATGGGAAACAGGAAAATTATCTGGAAATAGAGGATATAATGCCAACTTGTTTAAACTTGTTTCAATAAATGTTCATGTTAGTTCATTTCTTCGATTGGTACCCCCCAGGGCAGTGCCACTGACTGTAGTGTCTTTAGGCCATTCCCAAAGGGAGGGACATTTCTCGTTCAAGCACAGTAGAATTGTAAATGGGCTGATTTATTATGTCACGCTCATAACTGAGTCTGATCTGCAACAGGGAACTGCTGCTTTTTCTTTCCTAATCCTTACTATTGTCATTCTCCTCTACTTTTTTTTTTATGTTTGTCACTCTTGTGACCCGCTATTTTCGGTTTTCCTCGATAGTTGAAGCAGACTTTGTGCTGTTGAAGCTATAGAGGTGAGCAGACTAAGTCTGATTCCCTGTAAGGACTTCTCTGTTGACACCCACCCCTTGGCGCTCATATGACCGTATGCAGTTGCGAGCGCCGAAAAACCCTCTACAAAAACAAAAAATTCGACTGGTGCCTACACTAGACCCTATCAGGACAGGACAAAACCCTAATTCGTTACGCCTCGCATAGAATGACCAAAATTTGGAAATGTGTCTTCAATTTAGCCCCTTACCTTCCAACATTTATTTTGATGAAGATTTGCCGAAATAATGCATTTGGAATGGGGGGGTGGGGGCGTGGTGCTCTTACTAAATGATGTCAATGTTTGTGTTTGTTGCCCTATCTGTATGCTTTCAGAACTTCTGAACCGTGGGAAGAATGTGGCAAGTAACATTTGTAATAGTTTTCACGGTCAGTACGACTGCGTTCAGGAAAAAAAGATTACCTTTTTTTAAAAAAGAAGGTACACGTTATTAGGCAAGACGATAGTTCTGTCCATGTTTGTTTTGTAAGGTTCAAAGAGTTTAAACTTGTAGGAACTTCTACGGTATTTTTTTTTTTACCTTTGGTTTTTTAAAAGTTTTTGCAGTTCTTTTTCTTCTCTGATTTTTTATTTCTTTTCTTGTCGTGTTTAATAGTGATGGCAATCCATACGTTCTTAGCTAAATAGTGATGG